CTCTTGAGTGTTCTACTCTTGCTTTTACTGGATCACTTCCATCCTCAATAGTGATTGGTTTGTTTGCGCTTTGTCTTCAGGATTGTAATGATAAAGCCGTGTTTCATCTCCTGTTACAATTCTCTGAAGTAATGCTTCAGGATGTTGAGCCTACTTATTAAAAATTTTTCTTGAAAGTTCTGCTCTTACTTGCAGCTGATGGGGATGTAATGATTTTGGCACCCATCAAGCGGGAAGGTTGCTCAACATTAATTTTTCAGTCAGAATTGTGTAAGCTGAACTAATTGATATTTCTATTGTGTTAGCTATTATTTCCACTGTTAATTATTGCTCTTCTTTAATTCGAGCACAAACAAGATACTTTTTTTTTTCTCAAAAATTGATGTAGATAATCTGATACTCGGGGCTTCATCTTCAACACTTTCTCTTCTCTTTTAAAAATGAGGCTATCTATTTGTAAACTGGTAATATCTTTGGGGAATTGTCGCCATAAGCTTTTGGGAAAACATCAGTGATTTTACCATTATTTCACCCAGGCTTCATGACACATTTGTTGTTCGTTCTTGCTTCAATTTTAGCAAAATTTATGTCACTCTTATAGGGGTTCTTTTAAAATTGATGTCTTATAATTCTTGGTGCCTTAAACTAGATCCTGCACAGACATGTTCTAACAAGTTAATATGAGTTTATTTATGTATAAATATTTTTGAAATCCATGCATTGTTTTTTCATAATATACATTTCTATGAACTTTTTGAAGACCCATCATATATAAATATACATATATATGTGTATATATATATTTAAAGTTATATATTTGAAAGAAATAAATTGGTAATATGTGAACCTATGGAATAGAATAAAGAGTCCAGAAATAACCCCTAAGTTTTCTAGTCAATGATTCTTTTTTTTTTTTTTTTTTTTTTGAGACGGAGTCTCGCTCTGTAGCCCGGGCTGGAGTGCAGTGGCCGGATCTCAGCTCACTGCAAGCTCCGCCTCCCGGGTTTACGCCATTCTGCTGCCTCAGCCTCCCGAGTAGCTGGGACTACAGGCGCCCGCCACCTCGCCCGGCTAGTTTTTTGTATTTTTTAGTAGAGACGGGGTTTCACGGTGTTCGCCAGGATGGTCTCGATCTCCTGACCTCGTGATCCGCCCGTCTCGGCCTCCCAAAGTGCTGGGATTACAGGCTTGAGCCACTGCGCCCGGCCGTCAATGATTCTTTGACTAGAATTTCAAGACCATTCAAAGTGAAATATTCTTTTTAGCAAATTGTCCTAGGAAAACTGCATATACATATTCAAAAGCAATTGGACCATTATCTTATACCATATATAAAAATTAACTGAAAATGGATCAAAAGCTAAACTTAAGAGTTAAAATTATAAAACCCTTAGAGGAAAATATGCAGGAAAATTTCTATAATATTGGATTTGATAATAATTTCCTGGATATGACATCAAAAGTCAAGAAAAAAAAGTAGAATAATTAGAACGCGTCAAAACTAAAAACTTTTATTCATCAAGTGACCCTATCAAGTCAGTGAAAAGGCAACCTACAGAATAGGAGAACATAACATTAAATAAAATATTGAATAGAATATGAATATGCATAATAAACAACTTGTACAACCCAACAACAAGAAATCCAATATAAAAAAAGGCATTGAACTTAAACACACATTTCTTCAAAGAAAATGAACTTATGCCCATTAATTGTATGAAAAGATGCTCAACAAAACTAATCATAAGGAAAATGCATATCGAAACCCTAATGGGATACCACTGAACACACATCAGATGGCTTTGATGTGTGTGTGTGTGTGTGTGTGTGTATGAAAAATAAATGTTGAAAAGCATATGGAGAAATTGAAACCTTTCTGCTTTGGTGGTGGAAATAGATATGGTGCAGCTCCTGTGGAACCAGTATGACAATTCTTTAGGAAGTTACACGTAGAATTACCATATGATCCAAATATTCTACTTGCAGGTATATAACCAAGATAATTCAAAGTAGAGACTCAAAAATTTCCTGTTACATGAATGTTCGTTGCAACATTATTCATAATAACCAAAAGTCAAAAAAATTAAATGTATATTAACATATAATGGACAAACTAAATGTGCCATATACATACAATGGAATATTATTTAGCCTTAGAAAGAAATCAATTATAAGACACGACACAAATAATCCTAAAACTGTTAGGCTAAATAAAATAGGTCAGATACAAAAGGACAAATATTGTGTCATTCCAGTTATGTGAAGCAACTAGAATGGTGAAATTCACAGATAAAGTAAATAGTGGTTGCTAGGGGTTGGGGGTATGGAGGAATGGAGAGTTGTTGTTTAATGACTAAAGAGTTTCTATTTGTAATGATGAAAAAGTTTTCTAAATAGATAGTAGTGATGATTTTACACCACTGTGAATGTGTGTAACACCACTGAATTATTTGATTGTAACTGTTGTTTTAATGTTTTATATGTGTAAATATAGTTACACACATAGTTATATATGTATATGGTTATACATTGTTATACATACTGTTGTATTTTATCATTATTATTGCTTTAAAGCTACCTTAATTGCTATAAATACTATGGAATCAAGGAGAAAAGATCACCATGATTTTATTTAAGTAAGGTTTCTGAAGATCATAGGGCCATTAACATTAGATTGAGAGAAGGGAGATTAAAAGTTCAAGAGATAAAATATAGTAGCCGAACAATAAAGTTGGAAGGCATCAAAGACAAATGTCATCATGTAACAATTATTTTTATTTTCAAAGACACTGATTATAACTTTAAACAGAGATTGTCCAACAAGAAGACTTAACAATTTTAATATATATGCAACCAACACTGGAGCACTCAGATTAATAAAACAAGTTCTTAGAAACTTACAAATAAGCTTAGATATTTACACAATAATAGTGGAAGGCTTAAACACCCTACCAACAGTATGAGACAGATCATTGAGGCAGAAAACTGACAAATATATTTGAGACCTAAACGTAACACTTGAACAAATGAACCTAACACACATCTACAGAACGTATCACCCAACAACAGAATGTACTTTCTTCTCATCTGCACATGGTACATACTCTAAGAACGGCCAAATGCTTGGTCATAAAGCAATTCTCAACCAATTCAAAATTTTTTAAAAAATCATACCAACCACACTCTTGGACCATTGTCTCATTAGAATAGAAATCAATGCAAATAAGATATCTCAAAACCATCCCTTTACTGGGAAATTAAACAACTTGCCCCTGAATAACTTTTGGATAAATAAAGAAACTAAGGAATTAATCAATAAATTCTTTAAAACTAATGAAAACAAAGATAAAAATATGAAAATCTCTACAACGCAGCTAAAGTAGTATTAAGAGAAAAGTTTGTAACACTAAATGTCTACATCAAGAAATAGAAAGATATCAAATTAGCAATATAATATTACAACTAAATCAAGAGAAATGCAACAGCAAACTAACTCCAAAGCTAGTAGAAGAAAATATAGCCAATGTTAGAGCTGAACTGAATGAAAATAAGTCATGAAAATTTATACAGATCAATGTAAACAAAAGTTGGTTTTTTGAAAGAATAAATACAACTGATAGACCACTAGCTATACTAAAGAAGAAAACAAAAAAGAGTAGATCCAAATAAACACAATCAGAAATGACAAATATGACATTACCAATGACCTCACAGAAACACAAATAATAATAATAATAATAACCCTTAGGGACTATAATGAACTTGTCTATGCACACAAACTAGAGAACTTAGAAGAAATTGATGAATTTCTAGAAACATTCATCCTTCCAAGATTGAAACAGGGAGAAATTAAATATCTGGACAGACCAATAACACGTTCTGAAATAACAAGTTCTGAAATTCAATCCGTAATACCTACCAATCAGAGAAAGCCCTTGATCAAATTTATTCACAGCCAAATTCTACCAGACATATAAAGAACTAGTACCAATCCTACTGATGCTATTTGAAATAATTGAGGAGACACTCCTCCACAACTAATTTTAAAAGGAAATAATTATTCTTACATCAAAACCTGGCTGACACAGAAAGGAGAAAGAAAATTTCAGGTGAGTATGTTTGATGAACATACATGCAAAAATCCTCAACAAAACACTAGAAAATCAAACCCAGGAGCACATCAAAAAGTAATTTGCCACAATCAAGTAGGCTTTATTCCTGGGATGCAAGGTTGGTTCAACATACACAAATAAATAAATGTGATTTATTATATAAGGAAAACTAAAAACAAAAACCATATGATCATCTCAATAAATCCATAGGAGTGCTTTGATAAAATTCAATATTACTTTCTGTTAAAAAATCCTCAGCAAACTGGGTTTTGAAGAAGCATATCTCAAAATAATACAAGCCACTTATGACAAACCCACAGCCAATATTATACTGGATAGGCAAAAGCTGGAAGCATTGCCCTTGAGATCCAGAACAAAACAAGGACGCCGTCTCTCACTGCTCCTATTCAACATAGTACTGGAACTCCTAGCCAGCCAGAACAATCAGGCAAAAGAAATAAATAAAAGACATCCAAACAGAAACACAGGAAACCAAAGGGTCTCTCTTAACAGAAGATGTAATTCTAGATCTAGAAAACCCCATAGTCTCTTTCCATTTCACTATCAGCATTTTGGTCAAAACCGATTAACAAGTGTCTAGGAAGTTACAAACTTTCCCACATCTTCCTTCTTCTTCTCAGCCCTCCAAACTGTGCCAATCTCTGCCTGTTATCCAGTTCCAAAGTTGCTTCCACATTTTCAGGTTATCTTTATAGCAGTGCACCACTGCCGGTACCAATTATCTGTATTAGTCCATTTTCACATTGCTGTAAAGAAACTATTTGAGACTGGGTAATTTGTAAAAGAAAATTAAAAAAAAAAATCAAAGGAGGAAAGAAGTAGGAAGAATGGAAAAGAATTTGTCTTGCAGTTTGGGTGCCAGCTCACCTGCAGTAGAATATACCACTAGTTAGCTTTCTAAGGTTTTCAACTCCAGGCTCTGGTTTCTCTACGGCATCTCTGGACCTACACAGGGCCTGGGGCAACTTGCCACTCTGAATGGAAGGTCACCAGCCTGGCAGGCTCCACCACCTGTTGATTGCAGAGCCTTAGGGCCCTGAGCAAACATAGGCAGAGGCCAGGTAGTGTTTACACTAGACCTTGCACAAGGCCCAGTGTTGTGCTGGCTTCAGATTTGACTCAGCGTACACCAGAGGTGGTGGTCAGAGAGGTGCCTGTGTTACTCCTCTCACAGCTCCAAGGCAGCTCGGCAGAGAGAGAGAGAGGCTCTGTTTGTTTGGCAGAAAGTAAGAACAAGAGTCTCTGCCAGGTAATCCAGAGAATTCTTCTGGATGTTAATTAAGACTACCAAGGCAGTATTTCTATGAGTCTGTAAAAAACACAATGTTTCTGGGCTTGAGGTGATCCCTAATGCACATACGGCTACAGTGAAAGAAAACTTAGATCACAACACCCAAGTCCCTTCAAATACCTGAACAGCCTTGCCAAGAAATGGGTGCAAACAGGCCTAGACTGTGAAGACTATAATAAATACCTAACTCTTTAATGCCCAGACACTGTTGAACATCAGGACCATCCAGAAAAATATGACCTCAAAAAAATATTGAAAAAAGCACCAGGGGTCAATCTTGATAGCAGTGTGAAAATGGACAAATACTATATTGTAGTGTACTTAATTATTTCTTATTCTTTTTTATATTATCTCCTATGACTGTTTATTTTCAAATAGCCTGTCTTTGAGCTAATTATTTCTTCTGCTTAATCAATCCTGCTATTAAAAGACTCTGATGCATTCTTCAGTATGTCAAACGAATTTTCAGGTGAAGAATTTTTGCTGGACTCTTTTCAAATTTTGAGTATCTTTGGTAAATTTATCTGATAGTATTTCTAATTCCTTCTCTGTGTTGTCTCAAATTTCTTTGATTTTCCTCAAAACGGCTCTTTTGAATTCTCTGTCTGAAATGTCACATATCTCTGTCTCTCTGGGATTGGTCCCTGATACTGGGTAATTTGTGTAGAAAGGAGGTTTAATTGAGTCACAGTTCCACATGGCTGGGGAGGCCTCAGGAAACTTACAATCATGGCAGAAGGCAAAGCGGCAGCAAGCATATCTTACGTGGTGGCAGGAGAGAGAGAGAGAGAGAGAGAGAGAGAGAGCGAGCAAAGGGGGAACTGCTAAACAATTTTAAAACTATCAGCTCTCGTAGATCACTCACTATCACTAGAACAGCATGGAGGAAACCACACCCGTGATCCAATTACCTCCCACCAGCTCTCATCCTCAATAACATATAAACGGAAACAAAAAATGTTGAAAAGAGGAGGATGATGTTAAAGTGTAGAGTTTACATTAATTTTATCTTTGTGCAGTCAGTGATAAGTCGTCATCAGTTTAAAATAAGATGCTATTTGCAAACCATGTGGAAACCTCAAATCAAAAAACATAAAATGGATACACAGAATCTAGAAATAAATTAGACAAATCAAAAAGCAAGAAAAACCTCATTAAAAATGGACAAAGTATGTGAACAGGCACATGCAAATCAAAACAAGTATATACAGGCTCACGCCTGTAATCCCAGCACTTTGAGAGGCCGAGGTGGGCAGATAACGAGGTCAGGAGTTCCAGACCAGCCTGGCCAACATGGTGAAACCCTGTCTCTTCTAAAAATACAAAAATTAGCCGGGCGTGGTGGCAGGCACCTGTAATCCCAGCTACTTGGGAGGCTGAAACAGAAGAATCACTTCAATCCAGGAGGCAGAGGTTGCAGTAAGCCAAGACCACACCATTGTACTCCAGCCTGGGCAAGAAGAGTGAAACTCTATCTCCAGAAAAAAAAAGTTAAAAAAGGCAAAAAATAACAGATGTTGGTTAGGCTATGAAGAAAAGGTAATGCTTATATACAGCTGGTAGGAATGTAAATTAGTTCAGACCCTGTGGAAAGCAGTCTAGATATTTCTCAGAGAACTTAGAAAAACAATTTGACCCAGCAATCCCATTAAGGAGTATATTTCCAAAGGAATATAAATCATTCTACCAAAAAGATACATCCACTTGTATGTTCACTGCTGCACTTTTCACAATGCCCAAACACAGAATCAACCTAAATGCCCATCAATGGTTGACTGGATAAAGAAAATGTTGTACATATACACCATGTAATACTATGCAGCCATAGAAAAAAATGAAATAATGTCCTTTGCAGCAGCATGGATCAAACTGGAGGTCATTATCTTAAGCAAATTAATGCAGTAACAGAAAACCAAATGCCACCTGCTTTCACTTATAAGTGGGAGCTAAAAATTGAGTACACATGGACACAAAGAGGGGGATAATAAACACTGATGTCTACTTGAGGGAAAAGGGTGGGAGCAGCGTAAGGGTTGAGTAACTACCTATTGGATAGGATGCATACATTTGTATTCCAAACCGCAGTGACATGTAATTTACCCACATAACACACTTGCACATGTACCCTCTGAACCTAAAACAAATGTTGAAAATAAAAAAAGAACAAAAGACATCACACTCTACCTAAGTGTTTATCCTCCATCCTCCTTTATTATATACTTCCGAGATGTTATAATAGACGTTTTTCTTGCTGCCATATATATTTCATGTTAGATAACAGTGAAGACATTGTCTTATGGAAATCTCCTTATTTCCTTGTGTTCCTTTGGTGAATGCATTGAAAGTTCTTCAAAAATAAAGTTGGTTTTAGCAAATGTAATTTCCCTGGACTGGGTAATTGAAAAAAATAGAAATTTATTTTTCACAGTTCTATCGACTGGGAATTCCAAGATTCAGTTGCCAGTAATCTTGGACTGTGTGTCAGTTAAGGGCTTGCTCTCTGTTCTCAAGATGGTATTTGTTGCTGCATTCTCACATTGTGGAAGGGACAAACCCTGTGCCCTTATATGGTGCCCTTAATATAAATTTTGGAGGTGCATAAACATTAAAGCCATCGCACTTCCGTATCAGTGGTTCTCAAAACCAGCTACACAGAAAAGTCACCTGAAGAAATTACTTTAAAATAGAGATTTTTTATTTGTATCCCAGTGTTATTAATTTTGAATCTTGGAAATTGGGCCTGGCAATGTATATTTTTATCATATATTTAAGGATTGTGAGCAGCCATTCGATCATCAGTCTACACAGCTTTGTTTTGAACATGCAAACATCAAAAATATTATTATTATTGAGACAGAGTCTTACTCCCTCACCTAGGCTGGAGTGCGGTGGCATGATCAGGGTTCACTGCAGCAGCCTCAACCTCCTGGGCTCAAAGGATCCTTCCACCTCTCAGCCTCCTGAGTAGCTGAGACTACAGACATGCATTACCGCACCCAGCTAATTTTTGTATGTTTTGTAGAGACAGGATTTTGCCATGTTGCCAGACTGCTCTAAAACTCCTGGGCTCAAGCAATCCACCTGCCTTGGCCTCTCAAATGGCATGAGCCACCATGCCTGGCCCAAAAATATTATTTGCCAGGATTATCTGTGTTTGAATAAATGTGTAAGGTGATCTAGACCTCTAGCTAACCCTCAAAGGGCTGGTAAAATGTGTGCTAAACTATGAATGCTGCATTGGTGAGAAAATGAGAAAAAATATACCATGTTCTAAAGAATGGGGTGTTGCTTTACAAAGAAAATGACATAGTGAAGGAGCCTGAATAGCAGGATGACAGCACTGGGCACTTGGAATAAATTCAGAGCTTACAGTAGACTGCATAACAGTATCCCACAGAGAAAGACATTTACTTACTTTGTGTCATCTGCCAAACACGTTGGAGAAATTTCCCATGGAAATGTCATGATGCATTCTGCTAAAGCTTCCTGCTAAAGGTTGAGTGAGTCATGACAATTTAACTATTTTAGCTATCACAACATTACTTTGTAAATCAGTCATTTTTTTCCATTTACTTAAGCAGTTATATTTTACTTGAAGTCTCACAATAATTTAGTGAGAAAAGCAATGTGATAAGTATTGCTTTTCAAAGACGAAACTAAAGTCTTGAAATGTTTAGTGATTGGATAAATATGCACTTAATTCACTGACAGAAACTGGCTTAAGCTAGAAACTGGTGTTGTAACTGCATGCCTCATATATCATCCTGGACTCATTGGTGAGAAGAAATCCCATTGTTACTGCCATCTTATTTATATTTTTCCTTTCTTTCCATAGAGCTTCTTTCCATTTGGGGAAAAGTATTCTTTAAAAGTCAGACAATTGTAGAACTCAAAATAAAACTAATTCCTTTATTTCACAAGCACTCTGAATATTGTTAAGCCTTTTATTTTGAATATGTATGGTGTCATTGTAACTTTACTAGTTGTTTCTATGAACCTTCTCTTCACCTTCCTTTAATGTAGAATGCCACATTGCTATTCTGTTGGTTCATAATTTTCTATTAAATTCTGCAAGTATTTTCAGGTTATTTATAACAACAAATAACCAGAATAAGGTAATAAGTTTAAGTGAGAGTCATGATGATGAGCTATTTGAAAAAGTTTGGGATTCCTAGACACAAAAGCAGCAATAGTAAGTTTGTGGCTCTCTTCCTTGGTTGGCTAGATTTTTGAGTTGATAGAAATTGGGCTTTTCTGAACATTATTTGTGATACATATATTCAATGGGCTCCTGTGTATGTTATATGTGGATGAAACTATTATCTTGCTCTAGACATCAGACCTTTAGACCTTTAGGTATTGTCTCCTCACAATTGAATAAAATTTTTAAAAAGTGTGAACTCCTCTATTAAAATATTGTTTTAAAAAGTTTCTTATTCAATATAGACATATAGAAATAATCATGTTTTATATACGCATTTACAATTGTACATATAATAGTGATTAGATTCCATCTTTAAACAAAAATTATTTTAACTCAATTAATAAAAGCTTATGTTTGTCATTGCATAATACAAATATTTCAAAATAATTTGGTAAAGAAATAGTGTAATGACAGGTGTGCCTTCTTACTAGCTTACCTTAAATTAG